CGACCACTGGGCATTAAGAAAGTTAACGGAAGAAGACACAGATCATTAAGTGTTAGTTTTGAGGCGAGTTGCATGAACAAAAGGACCATTCTTTGTCGTGTTGTGAGGAGCCAAAAGAAGATACTACTGCGGAGGGATTTAGTAGTATAAGGGCAACGAGCGAACCGGACGGTAAGGAGTCAAAAACGGACTAAACTGACGTTATAACAATAGAACGCTTTGTAGCCGCAGATGGATGTGTGCTGGAAATACCGAAGCGGCGCTTGATAGACCTTCAGACAAGAACGCGTCAAGCCGGAAGATGATCGCAGATGAGTGAAAATGTTGGAAGTTGGAGAAAATACCTATAGTGAATGTTCGTTGCAATACGGGATATATGCCATCAACAATGATAAAATAAAGCAATATAATAATGCTAAATCATCTTATGCATCGGGTAAGGGAACGTTGTTGAACGGGGGAACTAGAAGGGAAGGAAAGTGACGAAGAAACCCATGACACAAACACCATTGAGCTCGGCACTGAAATGTCGACAAGTGTATCCGACCAAACGTGTTCGTCGTTCAAACCCCAGCCCGAAATTGGGAAACACCAACCGATACCAAACTCGAAGTGAGGGACTTCATTCCACTTGACCAAGTCATCGCATGGATTCCCCCCTTTCTTTCTTCCACGTCGCCGTCGGGCAAACAACGCGGTGTTCCGGCATTCGCATTATGTGGCCCAGCCATCAGGGCTTGGTGCGAGATATAACGGTGCTGAGCGGCTTACTTGCTCTTCTCGTACCAAACACGTCATGTCGAACACGCTCATTCCACTCGCGCTGATACCAGGCATGAACTAAGCTGCGAAGACAGTGATGGTCAAAAGCCTCTTTAAGCCTGCCGACCTGATGAGCCAGGTTTCATAAGCGTGCAGGAAAGTTGAACGGGCGGCTGAGTTGAAAACTGTTCTTCAGGGCAAGAGTGATGTCGCGCCGGTGCAACAGGTGCCGGAGATTGGAAAAATCGCCTATAGCTTTGTTATACGACTCGTGACCTAGTTCACGGCGCTAACTGCATAAGTACACGGGTTCCTGAACGATTTGTAGTTGATCACCAAAAAAGTCAGCGCAGGGCTGAGTCCCTACAAGTCAAGGAGAAGCAGTTTGCATTTCGAGGATGCAACCATAGCCCGAAAGGATTGGCAGAAGGTGCTAATCTGACCAGTGAGCATAGCATGTTTAGGAGCCAGAATTGATTAGGGCAATGTCGTCGGCCTATTCCAAGTCAAGAAGGCGTGAACTAGGAATCAGCTCCACATGTTGTAGGTCGTGTCAACCGAACGAGATTTCCATGATTTCGTTAATGGTGAAATTCAAAAGGATGGGTGACAGTTGGTACCTTTGTTTCACAGCGCTGGAGACATTGAACGGCGGCGACACTTTGCCATAAACACTCACTCCGCCCAACTATGCGCGTACAACGTTCGGATTAGTGCTTATGGCGTCAACCATGAGCCACTAGGCTCTGAGTTCCAGCCCAACTCAGGCTATCTCCAACTGATGAGTCCAAACCAGGAAGAAACCGCGGTCTTGGGGTGCCAGTGTTGGGATGAGCAACACTAAAACATTTCTATTTTACTTACGGTCTTTTTGACCGGAATGACCGAGGTCCACCCCAAGTGAACCGAGGTCTCAATAGAGGTTGCTTGTAGCAACCCAACCCCACAGCGGACACCTTAATTCCAACTTTGCATTCGTTTCCGCTGGACCAAGCGTTGCTCGCGGATCTCAGTGGCATAGTGCTTATGGCCTCAACCATGAGCCACTAGGCTCTGAGTTCCAGCCCAACTCAGGCTATCTCCAACTGATGAGTCCCAACCAGGACGAAACCGCGGTCTTCGGGTGCCAGTGTTGGGATGAGCAACACTATAATGTTTCCATTTTACTTACGGTCTTTGTGATCGAAATGACCGAGGTCCACCTCAAGTGAACCGAGGTCTCAATAGAGGTTGCTTATAGCAACCCAACCACCAGCGGATTCTCCAAGTTCAACTTTGAACGTTCGGATCACATATTTATCAGCCACACCTTTCCTAAGTAGACAGTTCCAAAGGGCATATCGATCCACCGAATCGAAGGGACCTTTGATGTCTAAGAACACGACTAAGGTGCGCCAGCAATAAATATGGCGGGGTTCGAACAAATGCCGCAAAGCTGTGGTCAATGCAGCCTCGATTTCGACGAAGCTGAGCTTACGCCTCGCGACTTTCACGAGTGCAAAGCAGTCTATGGAAGAAGTCGGAGAAAAGCAGCTTAGACGGGGCGGCCCCAATCTGTTGAGGCAGACTCCAGCTCCAACAGGATCACAAGTAAGTTGTGAAAATCATACACGAGAGTAGGTTTCCCGAATTTGAAGAGGGCTAAAGGAAGTCTCTTTGCTTCTGCGGCATTACTCGATATCAACAGTTTGACCTCACACACCATCTCTGCTTGTGAGGACGGATAGAACGGGACGGCCCAGGGAGAAGAGCGATCAATGGCTGATAAGAAATATGATAACTAGTTGGTTAAACTGCTATTCAAATTGTTCGGCCCAGCGCTTCAGGCCTGTTGACAAGCTGTAGATTGGCTATCCACTCGTCGCGTATGGCCTCGCTTACACCAGGTCTTCTGCTGCCCGTTTCCCTTATCAGACGGGTTACCAACGGCAGCGGCTGTTTCCAGCTCCAACGCAAAAAGAGACCACTAAGGTTCGCAGTTTCTCTTCAGGCTATCATGTATGCCCTGAGAGCATTGCAATTCCCATTGTGTTCGCTTCCAGGCGGAACACGTTGACGATCATCCAGAAGTACCAGAGACTGGGTGGAGACCCTATGTCCAGGTTGGCAACTTGATTTGTCACATGAATACATGCCTGCTGATAATAATGTCCAGCGAATATGCGACTAATGATCCTCAACTGTGTTCAGTGAGCGCCTGCTCAGCCCGGATGCCAGCGTACTTTGATACGAATTGAGAACACCTGGCTTCACCAGTTGGCTGGTGTCTGCGCGCACGGTGTCGTTGCGGACGTCCGCCGGCCTTAAGGATCACAAGTCTGCTTTATAATCCGACGGCACGGGTTCGAGCGTGTGTAGGGAACGGGCGACCGTCGCAGTATCCTTAGCCCATGTGCGTCTGTTGGTGGTTGTGCGGCAGCGGAGCGTCGGTACTGAGTACTGGCATACTGCAGGTGCTGAACCGTACCCGTAGATGGTAATGGATAATTGTTCTACTTGCTCTAACGTCAAAACTATAAAAAATATTGAAATGCATTAACAAAGTGAGGCATTATGGGTCTAAAAATTCAGAAAATGCCAATAATAGTATGCAATTACTATAAACTTTGGTAAAATGAACGAATTCACGTTGTGGTTACCAGGCTATTCCGCCATGTTAACGCCGCATTCCACTCATAGAAAAGGTAGAGCGACAGTCCACTAGCTCCGGCAATCGGCACATACAACAGCGTGATCGGAGCCCGCGCTCGTGCTCCAAATCGAGTGACAAGTTTGGACACATCATCTTCAACGGTAACCCATCGTGATGTGATCGAATTGGGATCATGGATGGCGGGCGCCACGTAACTCTTCTGCGGGCGTTGTGTTAGAAATTAGTGTTGGTGAGAAATAGACGAGCATATTCATAAATCTGCTGCAACCGGTCACAATTATTATTGCTGGAGCCTACACCATGTTGGCCACCCAGATGAAGCTTATTAGAAGACAATTTTCCGACTTGAGCGTTCAGAGCACCAACAAGCACCATAGTATCCGTACATTTTCTGTAAAGAAGTAGATTGTTCAGCTGTGATAGAAGTCATCTTTCACCGAGTCAGTTACAGTATGCAGCAATGACAAGCAATCACCGTTTGTCCCTGCTTCACTTCGGAGCTTTGAACGAGCCAGATTTTCTGATGGCGCACATCCGGCTTTTGGTTGAGATCCAACCGATCAGGGCAGCTGCAGCGAGGCAACACAAACCACTGTGCATACCAGTTTGATCGGTATTTGAAGCTGCGTCATCTCAGGATAAACGCAGTGGAAAATACCGCCAGTGTCGCATGTGGGAGATCGCACGCTAATCACAGAATTAAAATCTGGCATGCGGGTTTCCGATAAACAGCAGGTATCGATCGATCGATTCTTCAGTCTTCAGGCAAGTGCTGCCCATTGGACAATTTGTATCAATGTGTGCGAATATCGAGGGCTCTAAACATAAACGGATGAATTGACTTTATCCGTTTGGTTGTGCATGAACTTGTCGACTGGAACGAAGCGACTCCCTGAGAATGCGTACGAGTTTAAACTAGAACATAAGTGACTAATGAAGCAAGATGGGGGATGGCCAAGGATTATGGGGTTGAAAACATAGAGCGTGAAAATTAAATTGGAACAGGAGTATAAGGATGAAAAAGCGCAAGAGGGGGAATAGGAAGGCGGGTAGCATCTTCGCCCCTATCTAACCTGCTCGATCCAGCAGATAGGGTGTCATTGATTATCCTATGCGAATGCCGGGGAACCAAGAAATTGTTTGAGGCTCAGATCATTGTATTGCGGGAGCAGGATATTGTCAGGTTGCCCAAGCCTAGATGGGAGAATGATTAGGGTTATTAACCAAAGCCTTTGGTTCAAAAATCTGACCGCAAGGCAACGGAGCTTTGGCACTGGGCCAGAAGACTGAGTTCGTCCTTCTTCTAACCACAGACCAATCTGGCATGAGTGGTTCAGAAGATGCAAAAACACCGCCTAGAATAGCCTAATGGGTCACTGAGGCACGCAAACCATCGCAATACGTTAAGGTCCAGTCTCGTCGAGGTGCCGTCGGCCCAACAACTGTTCACATCCCTTGGATGCTTACAATATGAGCTCCCAAGCTGTATGCAAAGATGAGTACAGGTAGACGCTATTCTGTGTATCGGATTTGAAGTCTCGATTACAATTAAATTAGGATAAGATAACGGAGAAAGCAAATTTACCTGTTCCATATTTCGCCGTCGTACTTCCGTAGCACTTGGTGGTGACGGTGGGGCCGGTTTGGGAGAATGAAGGACCGCACCGAAAACCGAGGCTCGGTCCGCCACCGACTTCAGCTCTGGCTCGTCTTCATGGTTTCCGGTTTTAGAGTCAGTTGGTAGCTTTGAGACAGTGTTTGTGTCATGATTTTGAAGCTCGTTGGTGGGGGCACCACCTTTTATATAGCACTCCGTGGTTTGCAGACGCTTTCGTGGAGGCAAAGGGGAAATTCCTCGAGTATGTTCCTTGGGGGTGTCAGACAAGACCGTTGCATACATGGAAACAGGACGAAGAGTGGGTCTTAGAATCGGTGATGCCTGTGGGTGCGAGGGAACTCGATCATCTTCATCGTCAGATAGCGTGCGCTTGTGGGTTGAGTGAAAATTAACACTGACGCGGGGCGTGAATACTGGTTGCGGGGTGGATGTGTTCGTGCCACAGGAGTCCTGAGTAAAGAAACTGCGCTTGGGCTCCGCCCTATAAGAAGATGAGGGAATGTATTGTCAACGGTCACCATTTGTCAATATGAATCTGTGCCAAAAAGAACCGCTAGGTGGTTGGAAGTCATGTATCGAAGCCGCGTCCAACAGGCAAATTCAAAAACGACAAAAATAGTGGAGATTGGTCAGAGAAAATCAGAACAATATGTGTAGGCGAAGCAGACTCAATGCGGAATCCACTCATGTGCGGGGTATAACAGGTGCGCGAAAATCTCGATTCATCGTGGGAAAAGAAAAGATTACAAAAAAGCAGGCGAATGTGATGAACAATTTCTCACTCTGTAGTGGAAACCGAGAATGAAAAATCACCAACGATATCCGATTCATGCACCAAGAGGGGTGTTACGTTGGCCACTGTGACTGACTTTGTCGCACCAAGAGGTGGGTCAGCTGTTTCGCCAGATGCAGTGCATGAGTGCATATTCACTGGGGAGCTAGATACAGAAGCAATAAACGAGAGGGTTTAACGAGAAGCTAGTGCCGTTTAGCGAACAGACTGCGAAACAATGGACGCCATTGAAAGCAAGGGCATCAGCACTCAATCACGCAGCATAGTTCGCACAAGGTCGAGAAGTTAATCTGCATCAGTGTCCCCCTCAGTCGGACTGAAAGGTCTGGCTGCATGAGTAAATAAAAGTGTTGTGGGTAGGAAACAAACCGGAGGAGTAACAAGGTAAGAAAAATTACATTGTAAACAAAACGTCGACGGTCACGAGTAATACTTTCAGCTTGGGTGCTCACGCATAATGAACAGTAGCTTATATGAAGTCGGCGTAACTTTGCCACATGATTACAGTCATTCAGATTAGTTAAACAAAGTGGAACAAAACATTAGTCACGTGGAGTCAGCCATCTTACTGTTCATCGCTAGAAAGTGAGAAGAGGTGAAATAAAGGCAAACAAAAACAGTACGAAGAAAGATTTAAAGTAGGTGACGTTGTGTTAAGAGGATAAGATGTTTTCAAGGCAAGTCAAAATAAGCTTTACTGAATACTGAATTATAGGGAAAGTATAAATGAATTCTGTACAACTCTTTCGAAATATGGTGAAAAAGGTTATAAAAATTGTCCGTCGTGAATATCGTTATCGTTCTCAGGTGAAATATAAAATTACTATCACTTAGATCTGTAACTGGCCCGCATAAATCGCACTGATAATGTCGTCTAGTCTGACGATGAAACGTTTTCAGCCAAATCAGCTAGCTCGGAAAACATCCGCATACCCTCAACATTTAAAATATCTGACTCGCAGTATTGTAGGAGTCACAGTATCTAACAGTTGTAAAATACAAATCTAACAACGTAGTAAACTGCTGCGCATATGTTGCCTCCGTACCATGTTGAGGCAAACTGTTCCAAATATTGATCACTCTCCATTCGAAGCATAGTGGGTGGGGAACTCGCTTCACATCCTGCACGATAAGTTTGTAGCTGTGTCCACGTGTGCTGCATGGCTCTCGTAAGTGCAGCATTGGCCTCAGCATGGGGAAGCCACCGAGATGTAGAATACGGTAAGTTATAATGAGGTCGACTCGCATCCGACTTTAAGATATGGTGTAGAGTCCTAGTTTCTCGCATCAGTCTTCATACCCCAAGCCAAGTAAACTCGGGATGAGCCTAGTAGCAATGTGTTGGACCCGTCCGATCCTTTGTGCCTCGCCTCGCATAATAGGAAAGTAGGCGGGCAAACCGTACTCTAGCATTGGTCAAATGATGGAAGAGAAGAGGCGAGTGGCAACCTCTTCAGACCATGTGCCGAAGCTGTTTGAGCGCCCAAAGTATGCGCAGTCCGTTACGATATAGCCTGTTCGTGTTGTCCACGGAGTTAAAATCGTAACGCGAGAGTACACCAAGGTCATTCAAGGAGGGTTTGGGATATAGCGGTTGGCCGTCAATGGTGTAGGTTCGGCCGTAAGCACCCTGCCCCAGGCTCATAAATACAGATTTAGCTGGGTTGACCGAGAGATGAACTTCGGCAGACCATGTGGATAGGCGGTTGAGGTCTTGCTGAAGTACGCTAAAGTCGTCTGAAACGTCAATTTCTCTCCAAACCTTCATGTCGTCCGCAAACAAGGCACACAGGGACTGGAGAAGCTGAGGTAGATCGTTGATGTGGATCAGGAACATAGTGGGCCCCAGCACAGTGCTTTGAGGCACGCCACTTGTAGAGGGATACCAGTTAGTTAGATGGTCGTCGACCTGTACCCTCCACGTTCGTCCAACAAGAAAGTCGTGGATCCACCGGTGCAGTGAGCCACCGACACCGCACATCCTGGGTTCGTGAAGGAGAGCCTCATGGCTGACCTTGTCCAAGGTTTTACTGAAATCGATGAATATCACGTCGTCAGACTTCCCCTTGCTTATTGCCTTCAATCACTCAGGCCTCGTCACAAGCAAGTTTGTAATGCATGAGCGGCCTTGCGTAAAACCGTGCTGTGCGGGCGTCAGGGCCTCTTTTGACTG